AGAATATCCTAGCAGTAACATAACGCATACTGCTATATAGGTCTAGGGTCCACTTTGGGGTGGCTTCTCTTTGTCAAAGAGAGTAACGTACTCCATATATTTAGGCTCTTTAAACTTTGCAAAATCTTCATTTCCCCCATTTTACAGTCTACAACCTGCATGCTTGTTGGGAGAGAAAAAAAAACAGATGTACTCCCTCCGTCCTAGAAAGAATCTAATTCTAGCCCATATTTTGGTATCTTAAGTTTGACTAATTATAGATTTAAAAATATCAATATTTATGATAATAGATAAATACCATATGAGTAATTACGGAATATACGATTTAGAGCCATGAATGTGAATAACATCCACTAGAAACTTAGGAAAACAACCATTTTACATTTTACCTAAAACATAACCCATAGTTGTTTTTTTTTTTGGACAGCTGGAGTACATTAGTCCAATCTCAATGGGCGTTTCATAGCCCAGTTTACAACACACTCATATCTTGGAGAAGAGTTCCATTCCGATCTCTCTACTCCTATAAAACTTTTATCATCTCTCTCTTCATCGATACAGCGTCATATTAGCATATTTAATGTGCATAAAACTAACGTGAAACCCCGTTGAGATTGACCATGTATCTGCAGACTGCAACAGTGCTGGTTGGTGAAAACCCAAAACCTGCCCATTGCAACTCGGTGGTAACACAGTGTTGCCACATTAGTTGTCAGCACTAGCTGTGCCTGCTATCCACACACGCCACATTGGTTGTCAAAGAGAAGCAATTAACACCACTTTTGCATCACATAATCAGAAGAAACGCGAAACGACCGATAACCGAGACCCAGAAGCAGAACAAGAGAGGGATTCACTAATCACTAGGGAGTGCGATGAGCGTCGGCGGGCATGGGACACATGCTGGAGTCTGCCCGGCGGGGCGGAGCACGAGTGAGGGAGACGAGGCGCCCCGTGCCGTGCCGTCGTGATCCGGCGCACGGTGTCGGTGCACTGGCGTTAGGTTAGGCAGGCGTGCACGGGAAGCATTGCCCCAGCTTTTTTTATGCCTCGACTCTTTAAGCACAAGCTGTAGTATTTGAACTCACGCACTAACTCACACCACCACATGTACATAAACTCACACACACCTTAGTACGCAAGCTAGATCTACACCTGACGAAGAGGCTTGCACGTGGCTGAGATGTATCCGAAGTGTTCCAGGCTTCACATATGACGGGCAAGTCATCCTGACCATTATGGCGCATCTACGTGTGAGGCAACAGAATTTATATAGGAACTACCGTTCACGGTGGGAAAATCAAGCGCTCCAACAGGCTCCAACCGTGACTGGTGGCCTCCGCTCCGAGAGAGCACACCAACCGTGCCATGGCTCGGTCCCCAAAGCATTGCACAGCAGAGTAATCACTCTATGCACTACGGATCTCAATAGCAAACTTAGGAAACTTAGACGGGAAAATTAGAGGCCGTGAAACCTAACTACTAAAGAGATGGTTGTTTGGGGCGGGCTCCCCTCTTATTTATAGACCTATTACATATTCCCGATACGTTTTTAGAGCAACTCCAGCAGGTTACATAAACCCACTAACTATCCTGCATTTGGGTGGGTGGGTGGGGGTGGGGGACACACGCTAGCTGTTGTTGGCCCAACAAATTTCTCCTCACACTACCTACTTTTGTTGGCCTAACAAATCAGGCTACCTATTTTTTCCCACCCACGTGCCTCCTTCTTTCCTTTGCATGAGCGCTGTCCCGACTCTTCAAGTACAAGCTGTAGTATGTGAACTCACGCACTAACTCACACCACCACACGTACACAAACTCACACACACCCTAGTACGCAAGCTAGACCTACACCTGATAAAGAGGCTTGTACGTGGCTGAGAGGTATCCGAAGTGTTCCGGGCTTCGCACATGACGGGCACGTCATCATAACCATTATGGAAAATCACGCGCTTGAACAGGCTCCAGCCGTGACCGGTGGCCTCCGCTCTGGGAGAGCACACCAACCGTGCTATGGCTCGGTCCCCAAAGCATTGCCCCAGTTGCTGTCGCTCTCGGCTAGCAGCGGCGCGAGATCCAACAGCTGGCGAGGTGCAGGCTGGACTAGGCGACCGTAAAACGAAGCCCCACGTGCCGTGGTGATAGGGCGATTAAGTAGTCAGGGAAAGGAAACGGTTGGGCGAGAGGCCGGGCCGATGGGAGGGGAGGGCATGACACTGGCATCCGCATACCGCTCTCATATGTGTGTGGCTTGGATCGGAGGAAGAAGCGCAAGTCCTCCTACTCGTACGCGTCGATCGTGCGTACTAGTAATTTCCAAACCACGTGCGCATGCTGTGTACCACGGCGCAAGCAAGGAGCAGAGAGGCATGCGCGCTCGGCAGGAGATGGATCGATCTCGCAAGGAAGCGCGTCCCGTCCTCTACGGTCTATGCTGTGTGACTATACTGTCACGTCGCGTTACGTCCGCGGACGGGATAAATGGACGGTCGCAGTCAACAATTCCTCGCGCAGACGGCATGTGGATCGCGAGTATTATTTGAAAGGGTCTTATATTATTTGGTTATTAGATAGAAAGAAGACGTAGGGTGATTATGGTTACAACTTATCTCAAAATATATATATCAACTTTTGGAATTGTCCTAAGTTGAATTATTCTAAGTTTAGCCACATTTATAGAGAACGACATCAAAATTTAGGACAGCAAGTGAGTGCCGCTACATATACCATAAAATATAGTTTAGTAATCTATTTATTTAATTGGTGTCCTAAATATTTTTATTTATTTTTATTGTGAAGTTAATTAAACTTAAGATAGTTTAATTTAAAATATCCAAGAAATTAACTAATTTATTTTGGAACAAAGGAGTAGTTCGGCAGAGGATTTTATATTAGAAGCCCCAACAATTTCTGCTTTGGTTAACGCTCGTGGAATCGAGCGTGAGGGTAGCTAGCTCCCATAGATGCAATGTCAAAGGGAAATGGCGTGCCTAGGAATGAGCTAGAAGTCACGTGAGTGACGAAGTGCTATACTTGCTCGTGGTGTATACTCGTCTCAGGAGCTGCATACAGAGTTCCACCGTTCGCGTGTCCCGCTGCACCCTGTCCAGAGATACGGGTCCCTGAATCGTGGAAATCCTCGGCTCCTCGCACACGCAGCGCCCAGAATTCTGGCCTCGGTCCTCGCCAAGGTACGTGCAGCCATAGCCATCCGACCACCCTCACACGGCGCGGCGCGGCGCGGCACCTGGAAGCATCGCTGGAGCCACCCGTGGTATCGCGGCGGACGCAAGGGCCGGATCAGAAAAAACTGGCCACCGTCCGCTCTGTTTTTGCTGGTGACTGGTGAGCACCGCCACCGACCACGGTCTCGTTTCCCCCGGGGACAAGATTAGCACCCGTCCGGTCCGGTCTACATTTCCTGGCTTCAGGATTCAGCAATGTCCGGCCCGGCGTGTCCGCTGGCTTTGAGTGCGACCCACCAATTCGACGCCGTACCTCTGTCTGTCCTTGAACTTGAATCACAGCCGGCCACGCACCTGCTGGCTTCCAGTGCTAGTTGGTGCAACAAGCCGCAAAGGGCTAGTGCGTCTGCAGGGCCATTGGCGTAGCCGTAGTGGTATACTCCTGTGCTTCCATTGCTTTGAATTTCTTCCCACATTCCAGTTGCACGTACAACCAATCATCTTGACTACGCGGCCGGGTAGAGCAGCATCCACGAAAGTCGTCTCCCTTCTTCATTTTTCTCACGAATCAACACAAGAAACCTGCTTACCCTCCCTCGTCTTGGGTTCCGACGTGGCTCTACGGACTCCATTTGAAGGTGTGGTAGAATTTATTTATAGCACATTTTTCTTTTGTAATGATGACTAAATTAGATTGCTTATATCATGCGCGTAACGTGTATAAAACAATGATATTGTGGTAGACGCTAAAAACTTGTGTGTGTGTGTTTTGCATTCGTTTCACGGTCACCAAACGTATCATCAAGTTATTGAGATTTATCTAGAAAGGCAAACAATTGCTATCCCTTAAGTTGTAACCACTACATCTACTGATCTACCCTTCCCGTGCACACACCATTTTGGATGATGATTTTTTTTTCTACGAGGAATTGTAGGTGCTGATTCTTATTTGTTTTCTGACACAACCTGCGGGACTGTTTTGCACTAATAAATCACAGAGCATCCAGAAGAAAAATAGAAAAGGAAAAATAAAGAAAATACTTTTTCAGTCAATGTTCTAGAAATAAGAATGCAGTCCTGATGCTACACTTACGATATCTTTGCCCCACCTGAGGATCAACTGATTGTTGATGGAAATTCAGCCATGCTGATTTTCTTCTGATTTTCCCCTAAAAAACTTTTTAACGTGGTACCACGTTCTTTCTTTCTCTTTCTGACAATTGTAAGTTCAGCTTCGCTTTGGTAACCTAACAATTTCTACTATCTATTTCGTCTGGTGACTTTTACAACTTCTAGAGATTCGGATATACACTGTTTCCCATTCACATGAGTATTAACGAACAGCTGGAGACTAACGGCTAAATAACCCATGCTCATATACACACCACACACTGAATACGCGTTAGACGTGGCCAAAAAAAAAAAACATGGAGCGGATAAGCGTGAGGTGAGAAAAAAATAATCTCTTCTCACCAAATTAAAACGGGTCAAAGTAACCAGAGGCTTGCCCATAATTCCACGACCCATCGAGGACCAATTCCACAAAAAACACCCCGTGGCCCGCCGTGGCCCCACCCAACCCGAATTCGATTTCTTCCTCCCCTTTTCCTTTCCACACGCCCTCCCACGGCACCCCATTCCCAGACCCCTTTCCCCTCCTCCCTCCTCCTTCTCGACCACTCCGACGCCCCCAGCGCCTTCCAGCGAGCTCCACCGCATCACCGGCGGCGGCGGCGAAGAGCGGGAGGCTGAGTCCGTAGGCGGCGGAGAAGGAGGAGGTGAGCCGGAGCCGAGCCGAGTCGTGTCGAGGCGATGGGGCAGCAGTCGCTGATCTACGCGTTCGTGGCGCGGGGCACCGTGGTGCTGGCCGAGTACACCGAGTTCACCGGCAACTTCACCACCATCGCCGCCCAGTGCCTGCAGAAGCTCCCCGCCAGCAACAACAAGTTCACCTACAACTGCGACGGCCACACCTTCAACTACCTCGTCGAGGACGGATTCAGTGAGTAGCTTGCTTTCCCTCCCCCTCCCCGTCCGTCGCTCGCCCCGATCCGCCCTGTTCCGCGCGGATCTGCGCCGCCGCGGGCTCGAATCGGGGCTCGCCTCGCTTAGATCTCGCGGGGCTCGCCTCGATCCGCCGCCCGGTGGGGGTGGGGTCTCAGGCTCGGTCGTCTCGAGGTGGTGTTAGGTGGGGTGGGGTTAGATTCGGCGGTTGCTTCGAGGCTAATCTGAGTGGAGCGGGCTGTTGCTTGACGCTCATCAATCGGAGCTGCTGTTTGGACTCCACTTTGAGTTGAGATGAGATGTGTTTTGGGGAGGGTCGGGAGTTGCTGTAAATGACTATTTTTAGGGGGGTCACCTGCTCGGATATTTTCTATGTATGGTATATCGGTATGCATGGTGGGCAGCCCATTGCATCTCATCTGCTGAGATGCGTTATGGATATAGCTTCAAGGTGCCTCGATCGTCCTTGACTTTAGGGAACCTAATCGCAGATTCAGGGGTTTTCTGGATTTGGTGCGGTTGGATTGTGTTCTAGTGCTTTCCGTGGGGGATAAAAGCACTGGCACATATCTCTCGTGTGGAACCATGCGGTTTCTAGTCATTGGAAGGGGTGGCCATTTTGCCAATTCTATTGGTGTTAGTTGATGCCGTGGCCATGTAGCTCAATTTTGCTTTCATTTGGTACAATTTTATCACATAAGAGGTTATGGCATATTATAGTATTATATGCGTATGCAATAATGAATGTTGTAATATCAAGTTCTTAGTGCCTGATATGAGTTAGGCATCCATTTCAGTATATTGTGTTGTTCTAGAGCAAATATACCAAGTTATTGTGCAAAAGAAGTATGCTGCAAGTACCACTGTATGATTACATAATGGAGAGTTTGCATTGGCATTGTGACTTGTGAGTTAGCCAGTTAGTAGGTGCTAATCTTTAGAATACTTTGATTAGCAGTGTTTCTGTACGTATTGGACAGCCTTAATATGGCTGCGCTAATATAGAAGATCCATTATTTCCTTTTCTTGAAGTCATCTTTGGTTGACCTGAAGCAAATATAACTATTTCTTTCTTAGTTATCTATCCCTTGTGAAAGTTCTTAGGTTAACATGAAACATCGGTTAATATGTTTGTGCTTTGATGCTTACTTTATCAATCAACCAATGCTCTAGAACATGTTGATGATAAATATTGTTTGCTGTTTTACAGCGTATTGTGTAGTTGCTGTTGAATCAGTCGGGCGACAAATCCCCATAGCTTTCCTGGACAGAGTTAAGGAAGACTTCACCAAAAAATATGGAGGCGGGAAAGCAGCTACTGCTGCAGCGAACAGCTTGAACAGGGAGTTTGGGTGTGTCCCCTTTGTTCTTTTTACACAACAGTTAATAAATCATTTAGATCCCTTGACTTTCTTGACTAACATCTATTTGTTTTTACCATTAATAAAGATCAAAGCTTAAAGAGCACATGCAGTACTGTGTGGACCACCCTGAGGAGGTCAGCAAGCTTGCCAAGGTGAAGGCCCAAGTCTCAGAAGTCAAAGGAGTTATGATGGAAAACATTGAGAAGGTACTATATTTAATCATCTGAAAAAAATACACATCTCTGCATTATAATGAAAAAGACGCCACACCTCAACAAACATTATTCCTAATTCCATATTACTATTTTGATGTTCAGGTTCTTGACCGTGGTGAGAAGATTGAGCTGCTTGTTGACAAAACTGAAAATCTGCGTTCTCAGGTAATGGATTCCTTTATGATGTCTACATTAGCAATTTAATTTTGGCATGTGTGTAGATCCAAGAAAGCATAGATGAGTTCTTTTGGCTATAAAAAAGTTAGCATAGGTCTTTCACCCTGAGAAGAAAACATGTGTATGGCTTCTTGACCCTTAACATTAAGTGTATAATGAATTTGACTCGATATGTTGTAGAAATTTGATATCTGTGCTACTCAATCCAACTCGAGTGCCAGTAACCTTGTTCGTTGAAATGCCATTATTGCGTTGTAGGGATTGCATCATTTGTTAAATAATTCTCACTAGAACAGGTGTCAGGTGTTGCTTTATCAGTTAAAAGTTGAAACATGATGATTGGTTAAATTAAATGGTCAAAACGTCATGCTGTGAAAACGCCGTCTTGAAGGTCAAGTGGTCAACAGATCCTTTAGTCTGAGTTAACATTTTTCTGTCAGAGAACTAGCAAGCCATCGTGTATGTAGGAATACTCTGCGCTGTCTTGAAGGTCAACAGATCCTTTAGTCTGAGTTAACATTTTTTTGTCAGAGAACTAGCAAGCCATCATGTATGGAATACTCTGCTGTGCTTCTAAGGTGAAGCGGTCTTATGTTAGATGATGACTAGCATGATGTTACATAGCATAAAAACTATATTATTATGCATATATAGTTGATCTCTGGTTAAACTGTCCAATAAGGAAAAATGGCATGAACCAATATAAATTATTTCCACAGATTTGGTAGTTGACTAGCTGCTATGTTACTGGTTCTTCCTGTGTTGTTTTGGCATTAGTTGCACTGTCTGCTTGCTTGAGAATATATGTGGTTCCTATTATGGCACTGGTTAACCATGGAGCATAACTTGCTAATTTTGTTAACTAACTAATGGTGGTTCTGATCTGGTGTATTTGTTTCTGACCCCGAAAATCTATACCCTAGTAATCTGGTGCACATAGATATTTTAGATCCCAATGCCCAAAATCTTAATACTACTGGTGAGTGCGTGTTTACCCATTTGTCTCGTACAATGAGCACTTGGCAGGTATCAAATGCTGAGAAATAGGGAAAGAAACAACAATAAGAAAGAAAACAGCTTCTTTAACTGCAAACTAGGATCGATGGAAACAAGCCAATCTGCCTACATGTAACTTGCGAAATTTTTTTTAAAAAAAACCTGTTTGCAGGCACAAGATTTCAGACAGCAGGGCACCAAGGTGCGACGAAAGATGTGGCTCCAAAACATGAAGATCAAGCTGATCGTCCTGGGCATCATCATCGCGCTCATCCTCATCATCATCCTGTCGGTGTGCCACGGCTTCAAGTGCGGCAGCAAGTGAGGAGTGGGGGTGGGACTTACAGATGGGCCGTGCCTGGCACCGGCGAGAAGAAGACCATGTGGAGTTTTGCTCTTTTAGTCGTCGTGTTGAGTCCTGTGCTGATTATTCTTGGTGATCATCAAAGAGAGTTATTCCTGATGTCGGTGTTGATTGCTGTTGGTCGGTCGGTTGGGAAGTGACTGGGTGAACCGGTTGAAGGGGGTTGTGTCGTGTAATTTTGGATGCTACTATTTTGCATGTATAGCTTGTGTGCTATCCTGGTCCATGCTGCTACTACTACTATATCAGTAGATGTTACTACGTTTGCTCCCCAGATTGCAGGCACTGTTCGACAATGCTCATTTTCCACCTGTGATATGTAAACCGAACTGAAACCGTTTTGAGCACCTATACGATTCTGAAAATCAGCTGTTGGGGGTTGGGGGGATGCCTAGATGCCAGAGCCCAGCCGTGTGTCAGTTTGAATGCTATTTTGTGCCGGCTGGCGGCTATGGGTTGCTTCTGGCGGGGGCCGGGGTAATGCAGTTCAGCACAATCGTTTGCTGGCTGCGAACGTGAGAGGGTGAGTAGCTGTTGTGGCTATAGTGTCGCGTGGGTCAGCTAGGCGGCGACCTGCCACTTGAATCAGGATCAGCAGGTACATCTGGTTGGTGCGCTTTCGATGTAATGACCTCAGTGCCTCACCAATACTAGGAATTTTTCGATTGGGCGGTGGCCTTTGGCCATCTGTGGTTTCGAACCGGCTGAACGTCACCCATGACCAAGGACTACCTACTTGTATGTTAGAGAGGAGAAGACTTGGGAGATAGGAGTAACATTGTAGAGAAATAGAGATGAGCCATACGGCCATACCTCCTAGATCGCCAGATCGGAGACGGATTTGGCAGGTGTGGCTGTCCAACTGGCTATGCAACTTCGGCGAGGACCTGAACCAGTGAGCTGGCCAGACTCTACCTCGGTGGCCACGCTGCCTCTGGCCAAGGGCGCCGGGGCCTCACACGGCAGCCTGTGCGAGCCATGCGTGCGCCGAGCGAGACGTGTGTGAGACCTGCCCTTTTTCTTCCTTCTTCCCGAGAACACGCGCGCGGCGTGAGCTCCGCTGCAAAAGCCTTGTGGAGGTGAGCGGACATGCCGGTACGCGTCACGGGCTCGTCTTTCTTCGGTGACCCTTTCAGGTGCAACTGCAGTCGATCCAAAAGAAAAAAAGGTGCAACTGCAGTCTGAAGCCAATTTTACCGAATTGAATGCAAGGGCTGTCTGCGCATGCATGCAGCACCACCGCTGTATACTTGTGGTGTACCGTAATTCTGCTTCTAGACCGTCCATCGTGGGTTTAACGTTAGCGAGACATTATTTTCGGTTCACAAAATACGAAAAGGAATCACTGTACGCAGGTTGATAACTGTTACATCGATTCGGGTCGTACACCGGTATGGGTCAGATCGCCCAGAGGCCGCAAACGGCCTAGTACGCAGCGAATGGAGGTCTCAACGGTCGACCAGTAGGTCGGCGAGGCCGATTAGACGCTCATTCTTCGTTTGATATACCCACGAACGCCTCCAGCACGACGAGGATGTTCGAGACATTTAGGACAACAAGGTGGTTGAAAGAGATTATGGGTAAAAAAATGGATATGGATAAATTAATAATAGATTGATTATTTAGTTAGATACTTCAATCAGCCGTGTTCTCCATAGTTTGTATGGAGTAGGGTTGGTCTTATACTGTTGCAAAACTAATATGGTACTATTTTTATGTCGTTTCGTAGAGTTTTCCTAGCATGGACCGATTCTAAAATCGGCTTGGGCCCGTGTCAACGATAACGTAGAAACCAAAAGACTAATTACAGCAAGTCAGCAACCAAAGCCTAGTTAGTTACAGCAGACAAGCTACAGTTCCAAACACAGTACAGTGTACGCATCATTCCTACGATGAGTAGTAAAGCCGCTACAGTGGATCACTCTGTTCGCCTAGCTAGCTAGCAGGCACAGATCACTTGCTCTCCTCTGCAAAGCTGTGCAAAACTGGAGGAGCACTTGCGTACTCTCACTGTAACAACAACGTAAAATACGCCTGTTAAACATACAAAATGACAGACAGTGGCGACGTACAGAGTCACAGAGTGAAGGGTACAGACGTACAGTACAGGTCCAACACACATCTACGTACATCAGGGCACACGACGACTCTCGACCGACACGACCAAAACGCAAAACATTGACATGTTCTACATGTACAAACATAATACACCGAGTACACTCTGATGACCCACACATGTATATACGTACGTGGCGTAGGTACACGTACGTACATATAGACACCTTATTACACGCGCACACGCATGCATCCATGCACGCCTTACGGGACGCCGCCGGCGCCGGCGCCTCCGCCTCCGCCGCCACCGAGGCCGGCGCCGCCTCCGAACCCGCCGAACGGCCCTGCGCCGGTGACGGCCCCGCCGAACGGGCCGAACCTAGCGACGCCCCCGCCCAGCGGGCCGTGGACGCCGCCGAAGAGCCCGCCGCCGCTGGTCCGGCCGCCAAACACGTCCGCGGTCTTGGCCTCGTCCACGGCGCCGGCGCTGGCATTGTCGTCGTCGTCGTCGCCTGCGGCGCCGGCGGCCACCGCCGCGTAGGCGGCGGTGTCGCAGTTGCGCGGCATTGATCTTGCCGCCGCCGATGCGACGGCGAGGCAGAGCAGCAGGGAGGCGATGAACCACCACTTTGCTGCCATTGGCCCCTCGCTTTTGCTAGCTCGTCGAGGTGGCTGAGGACTGAGGTGAGCACAGTGGTCACTGGTGGTGGGGGGGTTCAACGGAACTGGACCGCGATAGAGGGTTTTTTAAAGGGGAGGGGAGGACAGGGACAGGTGAAGAGCAGTGGCACCGTACCAATAAATGGCGCGCAAGCAGCTGGGTAGCAGTTCAGCAGGGCAGCAGGCAGCAGCTGCCATGGCGTAATAAATCGGGGACGAAGAGGTAGATAGATCGATGAGGGGGCTAGTTACTGCTAGAGCAGGGAATATACTTGCATGGGCATTGGGTGAATTGCTGTAGGGTTTAATGGCTGCTAGTACTTCACAGTCTCTTACCTATAGACAAAGAGCATGTTTAGAACTATTAGTACTAAAAATTAGCCAGCTAATATCGGTTATTTTTTAGCTAGTTAGTTTTTAGTTGGATCCACCGTGGTTGTATAGTCAGTTGAAGTCACATATAAACTATTAGAACATATTAGCAAACTTTAAACCTTGCTAATGGAACTAATATTTAGCAACTCTAGCTAATAATTCGTAGATCTATTTGGCTCTACTAGTACTAATCTTAGCTGCTATTTTTTAATCCTAATGGATCAAACAGTCCTTAAGGATGAATGTTAGAAGTAAAGACATGTATGTTTAGAAATTAAGACAGAATCCTAGATATATAATATAATACGTAGAACAACTTATACTGTACTTCAAATAAAATGTAATACGTGGAACAACTTATACTGTACTTCAAATAAATTAAGGGTCTGTTTGAACTCCAGCTTTTGGGCTTTTTGTCTCAAAAGCTAGCTTGTTGGTTTTATGTTGTTGATTTTTGCTATTGGATTTTTTTTAATAAACTTTAGCTTTCTCATCTCACCAAAAGTTAGAAAAATTGCTCAAAACGTTTTTTTTCAGGTTTTAGTTTATTTTCTCATAAACCAGCTTTCCAGCTTTTTCAAAAGCCAACTCATCAGCTAGATTGTTTGTTTCAGTTTCTGACTTTTGGCTTGCAGAAGCCAGATAAAAGCCGAAACAAATACGACCTTAGAGTCTTACTCGGTAATGTACCAAAGTATTGCTTGGACATGGATCAATTATGCTAACTATATGATGAACAAAGGTTCCAACCTAAGCACTTAACCCGTTTCAGTTTTTCCACACAATGCATAGGAGAGGCGCCATATTATTGTTGTGATAAAGGGAGTACAAAACACTAAGGGCCCGTTTGATCCTTGAAATTGAATTTATTCTAATAATTATAATTTAGACATAGATTAATTAAGCTAATATAGTTGTATATGGAATATATTTGTATATTTATTGTTATGCATACAAGAGACATATTTATATGTTGCATTTCTATTATAGAAAAGTGAGTTGAAGAGTATGCTATAAGTTGAAGAGTAGAATTATAGCATAGTGATCTATAGAATCCATTTCCATCTCCCACCCTATGAATTTGAGATATGCTTATTTGTGAGCTTGGGAATATTATGGAATGTCAAATTCCAAGCCAAATAGCCTAATCCATTAAGTAGATTTCAATTTCTCCAAAATAAAGGGATCCAAACGGCCCCTATAAAATCTAATTGGCCACACAAGTTGGATGTACTTTTAACAGTACCCAATTTTAGGCCCTGTTTGCTAGAGCTTCATCAGCTTTGGCTTCTTTTTGCTATAGTAGTTGGTCAAGAAAAAAATAGTGGCTTCATCGACGTGTAGTTGTTGAGATGAGATAGGAAAAGAGCTTTGTGAACAGTAAGACTATAGTGATCTGAACCGTGCAACAGTAGATGAAGCTTGAGCCATGTGAATCTCTACAAAAAGGACTTTAGTTTGCATTTGCTACAATTACAATGGATCAAGATTAATATAGCGATGGACACAACACTGGTCAACGCAAGACTACATATTACTCTCCATTCCAAAATAAATAAACTCTTAGAATCACCCTATGGGGGATTAAAATTTACTGCAGTCTTAAGGTGATTCTAAGACCAACTTTTTATTTGGTAAGAATAACAACATTTATGTCACCAAATAAGTATATTCTGAAAATATATTTCATGATGTATCTATTAGGATTAAAAAAAAAGCTCATTGAGCTGGTTTGGTGGCTAAGTTGATTTTGAATGACTTTCGACTCAGCTCGTTAAGCCTGATTTCAAGTTGGGTCGTCTTAAACAATTCAGAAAACTATAGTATATATATCAATTTCAAAGAAAAGCTCAGAAAAAATAGTTGGCTCAATATCAACCCCGAGTATCTACTTATACTAATTTTATGTAAAAAAATATTAGTACTCTTTACTATAAATTTAGTTAAATTTAAATTAATTTGAATTAGGATAACTTTAGAAATTGATTTATTTTAAGATGGAGGGAGTAATTCAAAGACGATGAAGGTTCATCTTTTTTTTTGAGAATTCGATGAAGATTCATCTAAACATGGACGTACACAGTTCCTCTGAGTTATGAGCCTTCTTCAGACCGCTTTAATTTGCTTTGGGCCTCTTCGTAGTCTTGGAAGAAAAGGAGAGAGAGAACCGTACCACATGTGCTTTGGAAGGTTGGAGCTCCTCTTCTTTTCCTTTAGCTCTCTTTAACTATTGTCTATCCATCCTCCCTTTATCTTGTCCCCATACATGCTTCCTGCTAGTTATTAATTTTCTGCAGTAAATTTATTTCATTTTTCTAGGATGGGGGACTAGCATAGAATGGAGGGTGAAATATAAAGAAAATTATGTCAAACTAAGTATGAAGAAAATTACATTGAGGATTACAGAAATGTGACCACATTTTATCTGGAAGGTAAGAGGTTCAAAGGCTGACTATGTCAAACTCTATATAAGGTTTCACGTTTGCCTTAAACACATGTTGAAACTATGTGGTTATTTGCAGGAACATGCTAATATATATTAGATAGGCAAATTAAAAGCACCTTTAGCAAGTGACTTTGCCTGGGTGCTAGCTCGGGCCATAGGTCGCAAATGGGTTTCACATCTCATCACAAGACAGATCACAAACAAAGCTTGATATTATTGGTCAGTCTTATCTCTTTACCTGTTCCTCTATAGCAAACTTGCAATGTGCTCTTCCAATCAATACAACAAGGAACCAAACAAACAGGGAAAAAAGAATAAATACTACTACACACATGTGCAAAGCAAAACAACTAAAGGAGCTCTTGCACATCTCTCTCTGCCCAACCTTTAATCTGATGCATGTCTTTCGTGAGAGGGAAGCGACAGTGCTGTCTTTTGAGTCTTTCCAAACCATCATCAGTGGAGTGGCTTTTGTTTTGGGAAAAGCGAAAGTTTTTATGCCAAAATCATCATAAATAGCGGTGCTTAGAACGTGACATCCCGGAGCCAGACCCACCACAAAACACAGCCCTGCAACACAATGAGCAGAGAGAGATCCAGAGCAAGTATTTCAGAAACTTCCATTCTTTGGGCGGCGTTCCTACGCTCGTCCTGGTGGGCTTCCTGATTCTCCAGCTCCCCTGGAAGAAAGAATGCACAACTGTGAGCCTTTGGAAAATAGGTGAAGGGAAACTGGGAAAGAGTTGGAACACCATGTAAGTGTTGTTCAAGGTGAATTACACTGCATCATTTTGAGCTTTTGATTAACTAATGGCTAATTAGCAATGGCATGTAGGCGCACTTTGTTTGACAGCTCCTGATATTGTTGACTGATCATTTAGGGTATGATACGTGCATGCAGGGTACTCATTAGGGGAGCCAGGCTAGATTTGCCTTTGCAAAGTGTTAGCCTACTATTGTCATCAACTCATCATTTGAACTGGGGAGATGTTGGTGCAATGAGGACAAAGAGTGTAATCATCTTTTTCAATGACAGTATCTTGGTAAATTTTTATTTTATACTGATGACATTTAAAAAAAAACAGCAGGAACACTGTTATATCATATAGGAAGGAGAGCAAGCCAAGTCTTACAGGGGTTCGATTACAAAATGAAATAAGTTCGATTACAAAATGAAATAAGACAAGTCCAAATTCTGAAATTAAAAGTATATATCAGAAGAGGAGAACACTGTTATCATATAAGACGGAGTGCAAGCCAAGCCTAAATTCTGAAATTAAAAGTATAGCCTGATTTGCTCAATGAAGAAGTAACTATACCACGGATGCCATAAAATGGGTTCCCGGTTTAATAAATCAATGCTATAATAGGCACTGTCGTAGTGAATGAAAGAAAAATAGCCAAAAAGAACAGTGATTATAGGCACTGTCGAATCTACAGAAAAAGGTGAAAGAATAAGGCCTGAAACCAGAATTTAAGCAGCTCTTTTCACTTCAGTCTTTCAGATTTTTAGGACTCTCTAGTTTATCACCTTTGATTTAGTCTACAGTTCACCAATGATATTAGAAAAACAATTAGGTCTTGTTTGGATGCACTCGTATCTACAATTAAATCTTGTTTGGATGCACTCTTCCACCTCATTCTATGTGTATTGGAGTGGACTAGGGTGGAATTTAGTTTAATCTTCACTCCAATCACCTCCAACACACGTATATTGAGATAGATATGTGTGCATCCAAAACAAGCCCTGAGTAGTTTAAACATGACAAAAAACTAGATTTTTTTAGACTAGATATCATTTCTTCTCATCTTCTACCATTTTGCCATTGAGTGTCAAATGAGAATGTCAAGAGGCCCATGCAAGAGCATGAATAGGAACTTGATTTGTAATGTGAGGACATCTCAAGCTACTATTGAGGCTGATTCTTTTTATATGTATTCAGCTTGAATTTGGTGAAACAAAAAAAAAGAACAGAAAGTTTTCCCAAAAAAAAGGAGAGAGAGGGAGAGGGAGAGAGAGAGAGCATTCCATGTTTGCACGCAAGAAAGAGAAGGTACCTGTTGTGGATTGGATCCGGTCCATTGGGCACCCTCCTCTTGCTGCTGCTCAAAGGATCATCACCATCCCTCAGGTCCTCCACTGTCCTCCTCTGATCAGCCAACCTTCCATTATTGGCTCCGATCACCATCCTTCTACCACCCACTGCAGCCGCGCTAGCTGGTGATGGCGTCCTCGCACCCCTCTCTACCACCAAAGACATCAGAACAAGGCCTCCAAGCAGGATGGCCACCGCCGAGGCCGCCAATGCCTCCCTCGCAGACCAAGCAGGCCTGCTCATAATCCTATGCTACTTTCAATTTCTTTTAAATTTTGCACTACTTCCACCGCCACCAGCTTCTCATGGAGTGGTGCAACTGTGCAAGTGCAAAGGCCACCTCTCTCTCTCCCTGCACAATATATTGTGGACAAACAGGCTGTGTGTTTTCTTCAGGGTTTCTTGTTTCTGCAGCAGGTTCTGATGTGCTTTTGAAGGGCCTAATGTAATGCTGGGGGGTCAGGGTAGTACCAAAGCAAGCCAGCACTGCCATGCCTTCTTTTGTCCTTTGCTTTTTGAGTCGTGTAATTTTCTACCTTCTCCTTTTCCCCTCCTCTTAGATCGATCTTTGAATGGTAGGTAAAAGAGAATGAACAGGAGTTTCAGATGGCAAACTGGCAGTGCTTTCTGGTCCATGATTACACACTACACCTTGGTTATCTTTCAAGTACAGCTAAGATTAGAGGATAACCTATATTACATGAAACTGATTAGAAAAATGAAACGAACGAGAGATGTGATCTTTGAGTAAATCTAGGAGGAGGCATGACAGGTGAGAGATTGCACTGGCAAAGTGAGGTCCAAAAGCCGCATCAAAGGAATGGAATACACATCTCCTTGCTACTACTTCCAGGTGATAGGTCACTATCCTTTATTTATTTATTTATTGGATCTTGACTAGTATGCACTACATTTGAGTTCCATTAAAAAAAGTGCTGCAAACTCCTTTTATATAATAATAAGATGTGATTTATCAATCTTTTCTTTTGGGGGAAAACAAAGCTTGTCTGAACAAAAGCAGAGGTGATGAGGCCGGAGAGAAAGTCCACACAACTTCTATGTTGTGGAAAGTGCCAAAGGAGTTTGTTATTTTTTATGCAGCCTGCGGCATCCCTGACACACTGCTGGCTGTCCTGAAATCCACTGTGATGCAAGCCAACAAAATTAAAAGTGGGACATGGAGTTCCATTGCTGCTGCCACTGCCAGTGGTAGGCCAGATTCCATTACATTCCTTCTGAAGAACCGTAAACACCAAAACTTACTTCATCTTCCCTTGCAGTAAATTAGAAGATTCCATCAAAACACAAGAAAAGGAAGCAATCTATCTTTACTGCTGTTAATTGTCTGAAAACTCAAATAACTGTCTCATGTCATCATGTGAAGAAAACTTTCACTAGTTATGTACACATCAAGTATAGAAAACTGTCACTAGCCATCTGAAAACTGCATTTCGAAACAAAAGAAAAAGAAAATGCAAAGGCGCGCGCCTACGAATCACAGACTTTGCAGCTCATCCGGCACTGCCCAGGCGACCCCTCGGCGCCTACCATGTACACCGGGTTCTTCCCGCACTCTCCCGCCGCGGCCCACTCCACGCAGTGCTCGCTCTTGTCGGCACACCCTCGGGTTTCCTTGAGGACTACCGGGGGATGCTCGTAGGACCTGACGTGGATCCACTTGGGCGCAGACCATTTCTCGCCTTGGATCACCGGGCAGCTCCCGTGGAGGCTGAGCGGGTCCGGCACCCCGTCGACGTGGAGGCTGAAGAAGAGCACGGCGTCGCCTTTCACCGGTTTCACTGCACGCCATGCGACAAGCAAATCTATCAGCCTCGCCATGTTCAGATTTCAGAGTTTCAGAGCTTCAGAGCCTGATGCTTCTGTTCTTGAAGACGGACATGGCGTGTGCCAGATTTTCATATGGAAGATTACCTGCCAATCCCTTATGTGCACACTCGGAGAAAGTGTCGTCCTTGGGCTGAGACTCCCACCCCTGCATCAGTTGGAGCTGGCAGTGTCAGTATAACTATAACATACCACCAGATTTGCAGTAAATTTGAAGGTTTGAAAGCACCTTGGCGTTGGGGAACACGGTCTCGCCTCCCTTGTGGACGGTGGACAGGTACATGAGCACGGTGGCGTAGCGGTGGCCTCCCCGGACCTGGTTGATCTTGTCGTGGAAGTAGTCGAAGTGCGGCTCGTACTTCTGGCCGTGGTCGTACCGCAGTATCTGCATGTTCTCAGCATTCTCTGATGAAACCAAATCACCCTTATTAGCTTGGTTATGTACTTATGTTATGCCAACAGGCCTCACCCTGAATATATGTACATCCTAATGAACTCAAGCGAACAACAATCTGAGTATGGATGCTATTTCACCTTCAGGAAGAAATGTCCACGCTGCAATCCTCTCCTCAATCCTACTCACCACCGGGTCCTGCACAAAACAAGAAGACAGAAAGAAAACACATTACTGTCACTCTGTCAGTCAATATGATGGAGTTGCTGCATGCAGGTCAGCCGTTGCAAAATTCAGCAACAAATTCGTTTTCAGCCATTTGTACCACCACCCAAATCCTGAACTGGTCCCGGCCGGATGGTGCGATCAGTGAGTGCTGTGCCAGGAAGCATCAGCTGCTGCTGCAGCGATCGTCGTGGACCATGGATGGCTACCGATCGATTCCTGCAGCCTTACTAACTGCTGCACAGAGGGGATGGAGGGAGGGAGGAGCGGTCAGTGGTCCGGCGACTGACGCCGGCCTGGATGTTTACTGGTTGCCGGGGGCGTGCCGTCGGTCGGATTCAGAGCAATATGCAGCTGCTGGGTGGTGGGAGCATTTGACCTTGCAATAGTTGTGGTGCTGTGGGAATCAGAGGAATTGAAACGCCTGGAAAGCGGTTTGCGATCTCGATTGCACTTGGACCACAGCACACAGCAGGGAGGACCGCAGGAGACGTCATGATCAAGATGGCGTCTGGGGTCCGGCCGTGCTCCAGGGATCGTTGCCTCCAGAGGATGAGGCCCCATGGAACAGTGGGTTGCAGTGGCCGCAGGTTTGAGCCAAAATCTTATAGGTTACATATGTATTAACAATTTCACAGTGTTGATGTTGGATCGTGATCCACGAGCAAGGGCTAGCTCGTCCGAGGTTGCAATCAACCTTCAACACGCAGCAAACAATTTTTGGGGTCGACTAAACCAATCTAGAGACCGGTTAGACCGATCTAGAGCTCATACTTCGCCGCAAAAGCCTGAGAACGCCTGACGCGGGGAGGAGCACGCTTAGAGTTGTTCTAGTACCAGCAAGACTGCCTAGAACGCCAATAAATCTTGTGGAGACACTACTATAGAAAAAATTAACCGAGGCGGACAAAAGTGATTAACCGAGGCGAGCATCGCAACCGCCTTGGTTGAAAGATCACGGTAAATGGATATTTCCCGAGGCGGTTGAATTGCCCGCCTCAGTTAATCAATTAAAAAAAAATAAATAAATCCATGGACAGGCCCGGCGAGCCCATAGCATGCCGCTGCCGCCGTAGCTCGCCGGATCCGGCCTCCCAGCGCTGGAGCTGACGAAGAGGTGAAGGAGGAGCGCCGCCGCCGCCCGCGCCGCCACCGTCTCGCCCGCTCCTGGATCCGGCCTCCCCGCCACCGGATCCGGCCTCCCGCCGCCGAATCCGGGCTCCTCCTCACCCTCGCTGTCGGATCTGGGGTCAGGGATGGGCCTGAGAGAGAGAGAGAGAGAGAGAGAGAGAGATAGAGGGGAGAGGGACGCCGCGCTCGGAGGGGAGGTGGGGCGCCGCCGCCGGAGGAGGGGGCCTCGCGGCCACGCTGGAGGAGGAAGAGGCGGCCGAGCGCGCCCCACGCCGGAGGAAGAGAAGGGGGAGGAGGGCCGCCTCGCCCACGCCTCCCACGCGTGGCCCGCCTTGACTCGCCCGCGTCGCCCAACGCGCCACGCGGCCCGCCTCGACTCGCCCGCGCGCCCACGCCGGAGGAAGAGAAGGGGGAGGAGGGCCGCCGCGGCACGCCTCGCCTGCCGTGCCTGAGGGAGAGGAGGGATCCGGGCTGAGGGGAGGGGCGCCCGCCGTGTTGTAGAGAGAACGAGGGAGGGGAGGAGTGCGGCTAAGGGGAGGGGTGAGGGAGAGACTGATTTTAGGGTTTCTAAAGATTTCGTTTATATATTGGAGATGATAGTGGGCTAGTGTGGGCTAGCGGGCTGGGCCTGATTTACCAAGGCGGTTGCTTTAGGATAACCGCCTCGGTTAATTTTTTCTGTAGTAGTGAGAGATGCAACGAACAATAGCAGGGTTGGAAAATGATAAAATTGGGGGTAGTAGATGTGTTTTGACAGTTGAGTGTAGTATCCTTCAATTGATCATGATCCTCTCATATATATAGAGGGGTGGTCTTATCCCAGTAGGAAACAAAGTTTCCCACGTCAAAAATAGGTAAAAACCCGATTTGGAAACCAAACCGGCTTGGAAAAAGTCAAGTCGGCCTAGCTGGTTTATATGGGCCCAATGCACTGTTTTTAGGTTGAAAACAGGGAGAGTCGGCTTAGCCTACTAGGGGAGTCACCTAAGCCGATTTGGCACTAGAAATTCCATTCAAAAAGCTTCCGAAATAAATAATTAATTTATCCGGACTCTAAACGAGGCGATCGATATATGTTATTTCGATCAGCTCGACGAGAGGAACGTAATGGTGAAGTTCATTCAGGAAGTTGGGAAGTCGGCTTAGCCGACTATGGGAGTCGGCTAAGTCGACTTGGTCAGGCTTGCCTTCTTTTTAGCGTGTTTCTTACGCTATTTGTCGTGTTAATCAACTTCCAACACGTCCATGATGATTAGAACTTACTGGAGATGCCCATAATTCATGTTGGGACACTTTTGAGTGTCAACGTATGCTCCCTGTTTTTAGGTGAACGAAGTATCACTACTGCTTGTGGTAGGCCAGATTCCATTCCATTCCTTCTGAAGAACCAGCAAACACCAAAACTTACTTCATCTTCCCTTGCAGTAAATTTGAAGGTTTCATCAAAACATACTATATAAGAAAAGGAGGCGTCTATCTTCACTATTAACTGTTGAAAAAAAACTTTCATTCGTTATGTACACATAAAGTATAGAAGAAAGCTTTCACAAGTTATCTATAAACCGCATTTTGAAAGAAAATCCAAAAGAGCCCAGGGCCGTCCCTGGGGGAGTGCAGCCTGAGCAACGGCGCAGGGCCTCCAAATATA